CGCAAATGGCCAATCATAAGATTGATTTATCGCTATTATAAATGGCTGCCGAATAAATCAAACTTATGATTGGCCATTCGACGCCATTTTTAATATTTTCTAGTACTTTTGCGATACTGCCATAAGCCGGTCGCGCTTCTCTGATAATCTAGGACTCTAGTGTCCACTAGAAATCGATCAAAGTTTTCAGATCGAGAACTGTATAGCCAATAAAATTATCACTTTTCCGTAAAAGCTGCAAGTTGATTGGCTACACAGTTCTCGGTCCAAGAACTTGGATCGATTTCTAGTATCATGGACGCAAGGCTTGATAATCTAGGAATCTACTTCTAGTGGCTTACATTTGCGCTATTGGTATCAGGATGTATAGCTCCTCGTGAAAAAACTTTTGAGTATATTGTAAGAAATGGCCAGTTCGCCTAGTTATTTTCCCCAACAGTAGTATTTCTTTTCTAAGTTGGCAATTAGTAGCGCTTCCGTTCCGCGGCGCTAGTGTTCTCGTGATCGCCTCGCGATTGGCGGACTCATCCCGCGTACGTGCTGCGCCCGCGCGACGCGCCACGTGAAGCCTTGGCGTCCTCTGATTGGCGCATGTGATTCTCTTGCTATATCATCGTTTCCGCCTGGAGACGGTGAAACAGTCTTAAGTCTTTTGTCGACGAGAGAAGATCTCAGCCATTATGCCTCGCGAGTCGAGCGCCTTTTTGTGTTAACCGAATAAATCTGTGTTCTGTTAATTGCTGTGTTTCACGAGTGTCTACCCTAGTTACGTTCCTCCAATATTACTGACAAATATCTCTACATCCTTTCGCGGTAATAAAACCGGCTAGTAATATCCTTTCAGTAATATGTTTTCCTGGAGATGTTAAATCTGAAATTATATTGGGACAATGTCCTGTCCATGAATCAATTAGAAGAACGCTATTAGAACCAATGTTTGGAAAATAAGCTTCTAACCACATTTTAAAGTGATCTGTAAGAAATGTAAATATTAATTTAATAACTTTTTTTATGACTGTTATTAGATAAAATGAAATATAAATATATCATAGGGATGACAATTGATTATGTTAGAGATTGCAATTTTATCATATTATTTTGTTCATGCAAAATTTATAAATATTACTTTTTAATAATAAAATAGTATCTGAAAATCTGTTGTACGTACAAGGAAATTTATTTAATTACCTGATGTCATTTTACCAGATTTCGATGCTTTTACAA